AGAGAGACCACATTCCTTTGTGTGCCAGTTAATCTATTAAAAACCTTATTACCTTTTGTTTTATTTATTTGGGAATGAGACAGTTGTACCAATCGCACCGAGACATTTCAAATGATACCAAACATGTATAAAGCTCAATTGTAATCATTCACATTAAACCATTTAGATTCTTGGGTGGGTTTTTGGTGTCTTTGCATGGGGGAGAACGATTGGGGGATGAGGGAAAGAAATGTAGGTTTGGTGAAACTTTTGTCTCAAATGGTAATTTCCAGAGTGGTCGTTCCTCAACCAGTTCTTCCAGTTTTTCAAAAACGACTCTGTAGTTTAATACAGTATCTCAGAGCCTTACCTACAGTACCTGTTTCCAGAATACCCATTTCCACTTGGCACAAGGTTTAGATAAATACCACTGTCAGCAGCAGTAATTGTAGAACACAGTCTGTCCTGTCCATATCCCCCACCTGCCCCATGCACTCTGAAAAACAAACACTTGAGCCGAAACTGGCCATTGTATACAGTGTCTAATGCACCAGGTTTGTTTCAGTCTTCCCCGAGAGCTGTCAGCCGAACATAATTTCGACAGCAGCTTTATAGGTTACAGCATCTGTCGGTGGAAAGCAAGTTATTGAACTCATGTTATTTCGGAACAAATTTATACTCTAGTATCCTACTCTCTTGTGTATGTAAGCTCTAGCTCTCTGTGTTTCTCAAGGTCTATGGAAGACTAAATTCTTAATGGATTATTGACTAACTGATGTAGTATTGTTCTCACTTCCTAGTCCTATACGTACAGCAGGGTTGGATGGGGATCTAATGGCTCTCTTGAGGACAGTATAACTACCAGTATATGTTACTCATCCAGACAATGGACCAGATTTAGTTGACAGTGTGTGGATGGGCAACTTTTTGTCACAATCCATGAGGGTTTGGATCTTTCACTTCCAAATGACTGTCAGTGGATTTCTCTTTTTTTCTTTCCTGAGAAAGAATCCACTGTGGATTTTTTTTCTTTTATATCAGCCTTCATCTTGCTTATTGACCATAACATAAGACATGGTTTTCAACTGTGATAACTAATGTACTCACTACACACTCCTGTTATTTATATAGCACATTTCCCGTTATGAATTATAGCATTTGGTCCGTTGGGTCAGATTGCTTTCACACCTCAGGTGGCCAATAGTTCGCTTGCAATTGGGCCAAGACCACCTCGTTCAGGAGGTCTCGTAATAATTGTTTTGGTGAGGATCCAAGCGTGATTGTTGTGTTTACATACACCTAAACAAACCCTAACCAAGGGTGAAACCGCACCAGGTTTCGAAACAAACTCTCAGGTGTGATGCACCCTTATCTGTATCTTCAGAACTTGTTTACATTTTATTATTATTTTTATTGAGCATCTACTTGTAAAATCAGCTTTTCAATTCAATTCAAATTTATTTGAAGATGCATTGAAGTCAAGACCTCCTGTTGTAGAATCTTCTGATCGAGGACCAGATGGGAACACTGTTGATCGAAATATCGGCCTTCCCTGTTCAAAGTTCATAGATAGGAAGAACATAAGACATAAATAGCATCAAGTGTCCATTAATACCACCGTGAAGAAATACACTCTGAGGGTCAAGCCATTTAGACCAATAAACAACTGTTAAACTTGCACAGTGTGCAGTAAACACAATCAAATGCCATGTGACCACTGGTGTAATGAAGAAAAACAGGAAGTCCGAGATAGTTAGATGGTGAATATGTATTTTCAGTTTCATATTGCCTCATATCTGGGAAAATACTTCCTCTCCTGTGTGTTTTGGCATAAATGTGATCAATGCAAGGTCAGTTATCTATTGCTTTCGTCCTTTTTCCGTGAATGATGGCTAATGCCCGGAATGGCTGAGTCATTTGTGAGCATTTATCCAGGAGACTTTGACGCTACAATGCAAGTTATGTCAGATTTCTTTAGTTTAAGCCCATCACTGAGCATTATTAACCAATTATAAGCTTTAGATCTGACCTCACCCAATATAAATGACAAAGGCTAAAGGGGTTGTATGTGTTGTCGAAAAGGCCAACATAATCTTTGTGATTATTCTACATATGCATTGTGATCTAATCCAGTGTTTCCCAACCGTGGAAAAAACGGTTCTTGCGAGAGCCTGGGTGCTGTGTAAAAAATCCATCAAACATTTTAAAATTGCTAAAATGTCTAAAAAACAAACAAACAATTATATGTACCGTCAATCTCGGATCGTTGGACTCAGAAGTCTCTCTAATAGCAACAATAATGCACAAACGTTTATAATAAAAATGGAAATCATAAGTTTCCGGTGTTGAATTGCGGTTGCGCATGATTTTATTCCTGTTTCATTTCCAGTGCGACCACATAAAGCTGCCCACATCCTTATTATTATTTGAAAAAGATCATGAATATCATAAATCAGTAGTGAATTATTTAAAGAATTTAAATTTGAAAATATAAAATGGACATTCAAATATTTACCCAATAATCTTGATTATTTATTTGAATGTTTGTGCTGCTTTAAAATAAACCCAGGTTCCCTACTGTTAAGTGGCTGCCTCTGCGCTGTGGTTTTTGGTTACGTGCTGGGATTGTCCTCTCTGAGCTGTCAGTGGTGTGTAAATAGGCGCGTAATGTTTGTTTTATTAAGTCTGCGGGAGGGCGATGAGCTATCATGCGCTCTGAGAATCCCAGGAATCCCATTTAGGGTCACATACTGCAGGGACGGAGAGACAACCGACAAAAGGAGAGGAGAGTCAGACAGTCAGATGTGCTGTTTTGTAACTCACTTTTAGTGCTAATTAATTAGATCAGAAAGGTCCAGTGTCGATGATTCACCTATTTCTCTCTTTTTTTTTTTCATTAGACACAGAACTAAATACCTACTGTTTCAGCAGCAAGCTGATACCGCAATTCTGATAATCACACAATTGATTTTGAGTCACATAACCCAGTTTGTACTTCAAGTGACCTCAGTTTAAATGAAATCAAAGTTTGTCAGTTCTTTGTCTCCATCCTCCATTATATAATATCAATTTAATAAAAAATACATGTAAAAAATGCAACTTTTTTTGTTTTTAGTTAGTTTTTCTGCATTATGTTTTATAAAATTCTGTTTTTCATGCACTTACTTGTACAGTAATGTTCCGTATGTATTTTTTGGCAAAATGTCGATTTCCCAAGAAAATAATGTCAGCTGATTTCCAAGAAAATAATGATAGCTAGCTAATCCATCATTTTGCGGGGCCAGCCTGTAAACATTGAAATACTTAGAAGACGCAATACAAATACTTGTCATCTGCATGAGACTGATGTGATAATATCTGTTTAAGTTTTTCGTTTCAATGTTATGACAATGTAACCCGGTTAACCCTGTATTTTAGCATGAAACCACAATTTATAGCTATTAACTGCTTTTACTAAATTATTCATAGTAAGTGCTCTACTGTATCAATTTATATACATGTGGGCCCATATAAGGTGAGGTTTAAGTTGAAATGGTTCTCTGTGGTAATCAGTTACGCCAAATTTATCAACAGCCTGAAAATAATGTTCAATAATAAGGCAGGCCAAAGACAGAAATAGACCCATTTGGGGTCTGTAAATTTGTTTTTCAAATGTTTTTGAAAGAAGTCTCTTATGCTCACCAAGGTGACATTTATTTGATCAAAAATACAGTAAATACAGTAATATTATAAAATATTATTACAACTTAAAGTAATTTTCTATTTGAATATATTTTAAAATGTACAATTAATTTAACAACATTATAAATGTATTTGCTGTCACTTGATTGATTAATGCATTTGAAAACCACCTTACTGACCCCAACTTTATATGATCTGTTTTCAAAAGAAGCAAAAGCATCTGAATTTAGTACATCATACATCATGAAAGGCTCTCGATTATATTTTCTCAGCATTTAAAGTTTGTCATGATTGATCTGTTTGTTGTATGTTTCTCATTCATTCTGCATGTTTTTCTCTCCTCATTGCCCTGCCTGCTGTTTGTTTGTTTGTGTGTAAGTATGATTTGAATTGTCACTTCCAATCTTTCACCTTTAGACTAACCATATCAATCCTTTCTCAACAACTTTCCTTTCTCTGTTTCATAATCCTCACAAGCGACCCCTCGTTTGTCAGTACCATTCCCATGAAAGCTTTAGATGTGTCCTCAAATAAAATGCATTCAAATGAAACATAATCTCTGGGAAAATGAATATAGCTAATATAAATGAAGTTTGGGAGAGGACAGTTGTAGTTCAGGAAATGTTATTAGTGTGTGGTGTGGTGGGAAAGTGCTCTTTGAGAGGATGTTTTGGTAGGAAAGACAATCCTGGCCACAACACACAACTGTTTTGTGGCTCAGTGCCCCAGCAGCTTACGCAGAGCTCCATTAGACTCAAAGCCATCTAAATGTGATAATGCCACGACTCTTAACGGCTCTATGTTAGGTCGGTTCTTAATAGACCTTGGCAAAAGTGAGTCTGACTCTGCACTTCTGTATTGCACAATGCTCATGCGTGTTTGCTTTGCACAAGACCTGTAACATGATCTTTGTAGATATCAGTACAGTTAGAATATACGTGTTGTCATATTTTAATGGCAAAATAGACATTTTATTGATAATTAACTAATAATCATTTATTATGTATTCTATTACATATTGAATTGGCTATTTAAAAATAAAAAATATATGTATATGTCCTGTCCCAACTTCCTGTTTTGAAAGGAAATCCAGCACAGGAATTATATCAAGAAATATCATTGGCTTTTTAACTGTTAACTGTTAAACTTTGTTGCATGCCTCTGTTTCTCTGCAATAGGGTTTTCTCTGAATTTAACCCCAATTAACCAAATATTATGTTCAAATACACTCCAGGCTGACCTAATATGTCAAATCCTGTGACTGCAGTTTCTGTCATGGTAAAGGTCATTTTCTAAAGTCAGATCACTCTGTGCCAATGCTCTTTTCTCTCTTGTCCCAGGAGAAGGAAGGCTGGCATTCTGCCCAGCTTGGAGGACCTGCTGTTTTACAGTATTGCCGAAGGCCAGGAGAGGATCCCAGCTCACAAATTCATTACTGTGAGTGACAGCACTCCCCTTTATACATGTTTAAATGCACAGGGACCGTTATTATCGGCTGTAGCATGCTTTGTTTACATCTCCTGCTAGTAGGTCACCTGTTCCTTGCAATAGAATGACCGATGGAAGGATTGATTGGGTCAGTGTGTACAGTAACTGATGTGTTGTTGCTGTTATCAGCGCCTCTAAGTGGGGCACTGAGCCATATTTTATTACATCAAGGCTATTTTATCTAATCTGGCTGACAAAGGATGTAGAACCCACTGATAAGAGTGTTTTGATTGATGCTAGTAATAAGTAATGGCTTTGAAAATTAGCTGTTAAAGGGATAGTTCACTTGAAATAAATTTTTGGTATGTTTTAGCTTACCTCAAGGGCATCCAATATGTAGGTGTCTTTGTTTCCACAGTATTTTCAATTTTTATATTTTTAGGTCAAACTGTTCGTGTCTGTCAGACATATAATGGAGGTCTATGGTCACCACCTCAAAGAGCATGCACAGAGAAGTCCAAATTAAACATGATTTAATGACTCGTAAATGTAAGTACACAATGATGGCCTAAGACACGTAACGAGCGGTTTGTGTGAGAAAACGAACAGTATTTATTTAAAAAACTATATAAATATTGTTTGTTTTCACACACAAACCGCTCGTTTCGTGTCTTAGGCCATCAATGTGTACTTACATTTACGAAAATCATGTTTAATTTGGACTTCTTTGTGCATGCTCTTTGAGGTGGTGACCATAGACCTCCATTATGTGACCGATAGACACGAACGGTTATCAAAATTTAAACTGTGGAAACAAAGGCACCTACATCTTGGATACCCTTGAAGTAAGCTTAAACATACCAAAAATTAACTTCAAAGTAAATTATCCCTTTCACTCTTATTTTTGCTCATGGAAATCTCTTGTTTATGTGTGCATTCAGGCACTGAAAGCCACTGGACTTCGAACGGGAGATCCACGGCTGAAAGAATGTATGGACATGTTGAAAGTCACCCTCAAATCCACGGCAGATGGCGTAATGCTGGACCGACATCTGTTCAAAAAGTAAGCTGACACTGGTTTTAATGTGCTGTAGTATATTCAGGATATATGCACACCACGGTCATTGAAAAAGAATTTTTCTAATCTTAATAATTTTTTATTAAAAAATAGCATTGAGCCGCTGCTCTGATTGTGTGTTCACTACTGTTCAAACTTTAAAATGTTATTGAAAGACATCTCGTATGCTCACCAAGGCTGCATTTATTTGATCAAAAATACAGTAAAAAATAAATAACAGTATTCTAAAATATTACAATTCAAAATAACTCTTTTCTGTTTTAATATATATGAAAAATGTCATTGATTTTGAAATATTGAAATATCATCATACCCTAATTTAAAATGGCTTTGACCAGGATGTATGGCTGGTTCCCTATCGAGGGAACTCAAACTGCGTCCAAGTGACACTTTGGGGGGAACGCCCCTCAGCGTAGCGTCTCTGAAGCATGAATGAAACTAAGCCAATCTCCGATTGGATCAACGTGATGACGTGATGTGTGCCCGCTCGGCGGCTTCTTCTGTGCGAGTCGAGGATCCGATGCTTGAGCTGTCTGCTTCCGAGGAGGTGGACGTGCTCAGCATCGAAGGGGGCGGGGACTTCGGGGATGACTCGCCACCCCGTGTCCCCGCATATGAGGAGCTGGTAGAGGTTGTTTCCCGTGCAGTGGCTCATTTAAAGATCGATTGGCCACAAGAAAAGCAGGAAGTGCAAGTTAAAAGCAAATTAGATGAGCGCTTCCTGCAGCACAGGGAACAACCTCATCATCGGGGCTTACCGTTTTTTCCCGATTTGCATACTGAGGTGTGTAAATCGTGGAAGAAACCCCATTCTTCTCGTGTTTCCAATCCCACTATATTAAAATATAGTAATATCATGGGGGCACGAGAGAATGGTTATGGGATGATGCCGCGGGTTGAACAGCCTTTGGCTAATTATTTATCACCTGAGTCGGCATCATCCTTTAAAGCCCCGGTGCTGCCCACCAAGCCATGCAGAGAAACATCTTCACTGGTGGGCAGGGCATATATGGCTGCGGGTCGGGCTGGTGCGAGTCTTCACACCATGGCGCTTCTCCAAGCGTACCAGGCCGACCTTCTTAAGGATATTGATGAGGGCGAGGGACCAACTCCGGAGGATGTGGCGGAGTTGAGGAAGGTCGCTGATTTGTCTCTCCGAGTCACCAAAGAGACGGCCCGCGCTGTCGGTCGCTCCATGGCGGCAATGGTGGTCTCGGAGAGACATTTATGGTTAAATCTGACGGGCATCAGGGAAAAAGACAGGGCTTTTCTCCTTGATGCCCCGATTTCGCCTTCTGGCCTGTTCGGCGACGCTGTTAATACCGTTGTCGACAGGTTTCAGGAGGCGAAAAATCAATCAGCGGCCTTCAAACAATTTCTCCCTCGTCGCTCAGTATCCGGGAAGTCTGCCCCCAGTGGGCAGTCGCAGCCTCAGCCAGCTACCAGCTCCTCCACCTACAGGCAGGTTCAGAGAGAGAGCGTCGCGTCTAGAGCCCCCCCTCAAGGAGCTTGGGGGCATAGACGGCGCTCTCAATCTAAGCCGCAAGCCAAGCAGGGCGACCTGAGGGCCGTCCTGCAGGCTAAGAAAACATCTAAGAGGTCCTAGCAGTGCTAGGATCTCTGCGGGCGGCCCCACCCGTGATGGAGCGACTGAGGTCGTCTCCCTCGCGGAGCCCGCAGGAAATCGATGTTGTTCTCCCGCCGTCAAGTACGTTTCGGGACGCATCGGTTTCCAGCGATCGCAAGCTGCTTTGTCCGCCCCACGAGCCTGCGGACGGGCAGCGATTGCGTTCGCCCATCGAGAATCGTTTTCGGTCCAGTCCTGCCGGAGATTCGTTTCAGGCGGTCGAGAACGAATCCCGATTAATACCCGAAACCAGGCTCGAGAGCCTGGTTCCCTTGGCGAAATATTTCGATGCATGGGAAAATCTAGCGAATATTTCCCCGTGGGCGCTGCGCACGATACAATACGGGTACAGGCTGCAGTTCGGGTTCCACCCACCCAGATTCAACGGGGTGGTCTGGACTGTAGTCAACCCGACGCAGGGTCGGGTATTGGAACAGGAAGTAAACTCCCTGCTGGCAAAGGGGGCCATAGAGCATATTCCTCCACTAGACAGGGAGTCCGGGTTTTACAGCCGCTACTTTATAGTTCCCAAAAAAGATGGGGGGTTGCGTCCGATCATAGATCTCAGATATCTGAACCGCTCTCTGAGGAGATTCAGGTTCAAGATGCTCACTATTCCCATGATCGTGAGTCAGATCCAATCCGAGGATTGGTTCGTCACGATAGATCTGAAGGACGCATACTTTCATATATCCATCCTTCCATCCCACAGGAAGTTCCTGAGGTTCGCTTTCGGGGGCGAAGCGTACCAATATCGGGTTCTTCCATTCGGCCTAGCTCTCTCTCCCCGCACATTCACCAAATGTATGGATGTAGCTCTAGCACCTCTGAGGCTCCAGGGCATCAGGGTGCTCAACTATATAGACGACTGGCTGATTTTGGCCCAGTCTCAAGAGCTGGCGGTTCAGCATCGAGATGTTGTTCTTGCCCACATCCAGAAACTGGGGTTGAGACTAAACACGAAGAAGAGCGTGTTGATACCAGCCCAAAGGACTACGTTCCTGGGAGTGGTATGGGATTCGGTCGTAATGCGGGCACGATTGTCGCCTGCGCGAGTCGAGTCCATTCTGGCCACAGTGGCTGGGATAAAGCTAGGCCAAGCCGTCACTGTCAAGCATTTCCAGAGAGTGCTGGGACTCATGGCAGCAGCGTCCAACATCATTCCATTTGGCCTGCTGCACATGAGGGCCCTCCAGTGGTGGTTAAAAACCAAGGGGTTCTCCCCGAGGGGAAACCCGTTCCGCACAATCAGAGTTACGCGCAGATGCCTTCGTTCTCTGGTTATGTGGAAGAAAGCTTGGTTCTTGTCCCAAGGTCCAGTGTTGGGAGCGCCATGTCGCCGGAAAACCGTTTCGACAGACGCTTCCCTCACGGGCTGGGGCGCGGTCATGGACGGCCGCTTCACGACAGGCCTATGGCGGGACCATCATTCCTCCTGGCACATAAACTGCCTGGAAATGTTGGCGGTCTCCCGGGCTCTGAGGAGCTTCCTGCCGGACCTCAGAGGTCATCACGTCCTCGTGAGGTCAGACAGCATGTCAGTGGTGGCCTATATAAACCATCAGGGGGGCCTGAGGTCTCGCCCTCTATGCAGACTGGCGCATCAGATCCTCCTGTGGTCCCAGGGGAAACTGTTGTCTCTGAGAGCAACATACATCCCGGGAAGTCTAAATCAGGGAGCAGACGTCCTGTCGAGACAGGGGCTGAGGCCCGGGGATTGGAGACTTCACCCCGAGGTGGTGGAGTCGATATGTCAGAGGTTCGGCCCTGTGGAAGTGGACCTGTTTGCGTCTCGAGAGACGACCCACTGTCCGCTGTGGTTTTCCCTCACCCCTCCTGCCCCACTGGGGCTGGATGCTATGGTGCAGACGTGGCCGAGGCTGCGTCTGTATGCATTTCCCCCGATCGCTCTGCTCCCAGGAGTTCTGGAAAGGGTCCGTCGCGACGGGATCAGTCTACTGTTGGTAGCCCCGTTGTGGCCGGCCCGAGTATGGTTCTCGGACATAATATTGCTCCTAGACGGCCCTCCGTGGGAGATTCCCCTCAGGAGGGACCTGCTGACACAGGCGGGGGGCTCAATATTTCACCCTCGGCCGGAGTTATGGAAACTGTGGGTCTGGCCCCTGAGGGGGCACAGTACCTAGAGGCCGGCCTGTCAGCTGGAGTAGTGGAGACCATACTCAGCTCTAGAGCTCCCTCCACGAGGAAACTGTATGGTTTAAAGTGGAATGTGTTTATGGATTGGTGTAGGAGGCGTGAGGTTGACCCAGTTAACTGCCCAGTGGCTTCAGTGCTGGAGTTCCTCCAAGATCGCTTCTCCTCTGGTCTTACCCCGTCCACGCTCAAGGTGTACGTGGCTGCCATTGCGGCTTTCCACGCTCCGTTGGGTGATGGGTCTCTGGGGAGACACCAATTGATCGTACGTTTCCTCCGTGGAGCTTGGAGGATGAGACCTGCGGCTCGTACCAGGGTTCCCTCTTGGGACCTGGCAGTAGTTCTAGAAGGATTGGCTGAGGCCCCCTTCGAGCCACTGGAGTCGGCTGAGGCCAAGAACCTAACGCTGAAGGTCGCTTTTCTGTTGGCCATCACTTCTCTGAGGAGGGTGGGAGATCTTCAGGCGCTCTCCTTATCTAACGAGTGCCTGGAGTTTGCTCCAGGCAACATTAAGGCCATCCTTCACCCTAGGCCTGGCTATCTGCCTAAGGTGCCATCTAATGTGGCACGGCCTACGGTTCTGCAGGCATTTCATCCCCCACCTCACCTGACGGCGGATGAGGAGAGACTTCATAGGCTCTGCCCTGTCAGAGCACTAGGGATATATATTCAGAGGTCCTCTTCATGGCGGAAGGCGGACCAGTTGCTGGTATGTTTCGGGTCGCCCAAAAAGGGGTTTCCGGCCTCAAAACAAACCATCAGCAACTGGATTGTCAATGCGATTTCCACAGCTTATCAGGTGCGCAGTATGCCTTCACCTTTGGCTGTGAGGGCCCATTCCACTAGAGGCATAGCATCCTCTAGGGCCCTTCTCGCAGGGGCCCCCATCCAGGAAGTCTGCGATGCAGCTGGATGGGCTACCCCACATACCTTCATTAGGTTTTACAGCTTAGACATTCCGTCGACACCCGGCTCTCTTGTGCTCGCGTCCTGAGTGTGCCTGTGAGCAGCTTCACACCAGGACAGGCAGGGCGCGTTGTGGCGTAGTGGGTACTCGTTCCCCCAAAGTGTCACTTGGACGCAGTTTGAGTTCCCTCGATAGGGAACGTCCTCGGGTTACGACTGTAACCCTTGTTCCCTGAGAAGGGAACGAGAACTGCGTCTCGTGGCCACGCCTTCCCCTGCCTGGGAGCGCTTGCTTCATCACAGAAGCTGACATGTTGTGTGTGCCGGTTCCTTATATATGCTTCCGCCTATGTGTCGTCACACATCACGTCATCACGTTGATCCAATCGGAGATTGGCTTAGTTTCATTCATGCTTCAGAGACGCTACGCTGAGGGGCGTTCCCCCCAAAGTGTCACTTGGACGCAGTTCTCGTTCCCTTCTCAGGGAACAAGGGTTACAGTCGTAACCCGAGGACGTTTTGCTGGTTCAGTGCTGATCAAGCTGGTGGATAATAGGAAAAATGTTGGTGGACTAGGATGATTTTTTACTGGTGAATCTGATTAATCATCAAACCAATTCTTCACATGGTTAAGAAGTCAACCACATTGCATACAGTGTATATACTATGTATTATGTACTTGCAGAACTAGTAGTATGATCATATAATTGCACCTATTACTATAACTATATTTAGCACAAATGCAGTTTCCCTGGTAATTCAAGGTGAGAAATGAATAAATTCTCAGCTAACAGATTCTGCTTGAAACGGATGACCTCTGTCTGCTGACAAACCCCTGACAATCTGCTCCCTCTAGCTTTGTGTCACTCTTCTGGCATGATCCATAACCAGCCTGATAGATGTCTGTTTTTCAGCTTCTCCGCTGTTGGTGCTGTGTTTACCGCCCCGGTCGATCTGGCTGCTACTGACAGCTTCATTACAGACTGAAAAGATAGATGCAGTGGTGTCAGCTAGTAGAGGCTTGATAGATTATGGCAGTGAGTGACCTTGCATGGCGGACAAGGCCAAAAAGAGACAGAGATAGATGACATATGGAATTGAATACTACTGTATTTTAAGTGCATTCCCCACCTCATTTAACCATTTTACACAAAATGAACCGAGGTTTTGAAACGCATGAGAAAAAATTTCACTCAGTAAACAAAGCTGTTTTTTCTCAATCAACACAGATGCACAAAAATTGTTAAAAAGGAAACGTGGCTGAAAAAGAATAACAAAAGAAAGATAAAACACTCTTCAGTGACTTTACTGCCGTTATTAAAGCCAATTCATGCATGTATTAATCCGATCTGTGTTAATGTGAAGCCCAAGACCACTGGAACGAAGAAAAGCCAACGAAATTAAAAAAAGCACTTTATGAGTGAGTGCATCTTTAGTGTAAAATAATACATAAATAATACTGCATACATCTGCTGTTATAAAAAATATATAAATTAGTAAATGAAACCGTTTGTGAAATGGAACAATAAACATTCATTTCAAACAATAATGTGCTGCAATGTTGTCATAAATACTCATTACATGTTTAATTTAGTGTGTGGTGTGCAATTATGATCTTGAAGAAAAAAAAAACATATGATTTCACATTTTGAAAGAGAATATTCTGTAGAAAAGAAACAATGTATTTGATTAAATAATCAAGAAAAACTGCTCAAAATATGGTCTTTTACTTTAAAGGAAGAAGTCAAGTGGGGCTCATTGCATTGTGGGATATAGTACCTACCGCCATGTGCTCTGATGTACGAGATTGTATATGGTGCACAGTAGTATACATACCCCAGAAATAGTACGATGCTAGTATGCTATTCCAAACATATTGGTTCCTCTCTATCTTCTCCTGCACTACACATACAAGTAATAGATTATCTTTTGAAAATTCACAAACACGTAAATCTGAGCAGCAGCACAGTGCACTGATATTTTGAGCTTGTCTGTCTGCTCAGGGACCTTGGTGAAGCAACTGGCCCAATATTTCAGACACAATCATAGGGGACGTTTTGGGTTTATGATGCCTGTGAACGATGTACTTTCCTCTGCTGCAGTGGAAGTGAATCACCCAGCTCTGTGAAACCTCTCTCATGCCATAGATGTTTTGATATTTTACAATAAATCTTTCAGTGGGAAAGGAAATGTGCATTGGTACAGATTTAGCGTTTAGCTTGATCAAAGTGGGAATAAACATTTAGCTTCTTGAGGAGGGAAGTTAAACAATTTCAAAGACATTGTTTCTAATGTATGTTGCATTGATTTTTGAGGGTTTTAATTCATACTAAAGTTACTATTATCATTTGTCTCCCTAAAATATAGTGGAGTTAAAGGGATAGTTCACTTTGAAATTAATTTTTGGTATGTTTTAGTTTACCTCAAGGGCATTCAAGATGTAGGTGTCTTTGTTTACGCAGTAGTTTCAATTTTGATATTTTAAGGTCAAACTGTTCGTGTCTATCAGTCATATAATGGAAGTCTATGGTCACCACCTCAAAGAGCATGCACAGAGAAGTCCAAATTAAACGTGATTTAATGACTAAGTACACATTGATGGCCAAAGACATGAAACGAGCGGTTTGTGTGAGAAAATGAACAGTTATATCGTTTTTACCTCTTGTTACCACAGCCACAAAGCACCCCTGCCCTCAGATTACTTGGACGTGGCTGCGGTTACAAGAGGTAAAAACATTTTAATAGTGTTCGTTTTCTCGCACAAACCGCTCATTTCATGTCTTAGGCCATCAGTTTGTATTTACATTTACGAGTCATTAAATCATGTTTAATTTGGACTTCTCTGTGCATGCTCTTTGAGGTGGTGACCATAGACCTCCATTATATGGCTGATAGACACGAACGGTTTGACCTTAAAATATCAAAATTGAAAATACTGTGGAAACAAAGACACCTACTGTACATCTTGGATGCCCTTGAGGTAAGCTAAAACATCCCAAAAATTTATTTCAAAGTGAACTATCCCTTTAACTCTTTCCCCGCCAGCGTTTTAAAAAAAAGTTGCCAGCCACCGCCAGGGTTTTTGACGATTTTCGCTAAATTTGAATGCCCCGCTGAATATTTTCTTCCATGAATATATGAAGATGATATATATAAAAATAAAGATCTGAGCCTCTGCTTTTAGGCAAAAAAAACGTTTTTATTTTATCTTCATCTGTTCTTTTTTTATTGCCTCTTGAACAGAGGTAGGTTTTGTCAAAAACACAACATTTTGGACAAAAAACTGAGAAAAAGGTATTTTTTATCAAACAAGTGCATTTAAAAGCAGAATACATTCAGATGTTGTTTCCTTCATATATAAAACTTTCCAAAATAAATTAAAAACATAAAATAAATGTAAAATATATCAAATTTCCCAGGATGTAAGGGAAATGTAATTTTTGCAATAAAACTTCTGCTTCTGCCTCTCTGTGTTCTACCTGTGAATAATGATTGGAATTACAATAAACAAGCCTAGACACACACACACACACACACAAATACATATTACAATGTGGTAAATGTGCACAAAGAGAGAAATAATTTGACAATTACACCTTCATATTTAGACAGCCACACATAAATGCCTGCACACACACATAAATATTATAGTGTCATAATATTATACGATCTATCTGCGGCACGTCCATGGCTAGAACTTTCTGTGACAACATGTGCATCTCTCTCACTGACTACTTCGTCCCGATCAGATTCAGAATTATCAAATAATGAGTGATCGGACTCCGAGTCCATTAACCTCCAGTACTTCAGCCATATACCTCTGCATTGTCTGTCTGATACATTCTCACTACTCCACTTTTTGAGACGATTGCAATCTGTTTCTCTGATCAAAGAGTTGCGCACTCATTCAGGACATGCGCGCGGGTCTTCCTTACCGCATACCACCTAAAACACGGATACCCGGAAAATTCCGTGTTTGGCGCAGATGCGTTTTTTCATTAAACACGGAAAATTCCGTGTTTGGCGGGGAAAGAGTTAATAGTTATGTCTAATTTAAGGAACAAATTAATCTGTGTTGTTTGTCCTATAATTACTCGGGAGGAAAGAATTGCTCAAAAATACATACTTCCACACATAAATGCTGAGCAAGCCATTAGTAGGTATACATTCTTCAACTCTGTGGTCCTATTTGTTTCTTCAGGTGTGTCCAGAGCAACATTGTTCTCCTAACCCAGGCCTTCCGGAAAAAGTTTGTCATCCCTGATTTCCAGACTTTCGCCTCCCACATCGATACACTTTATGAGAAAGGCCGTAATCTTTCCGGGGGCCTGGTAAGATGAGATAAATGGAAATAACACCTCAACCAAAATGTTTTTATTTTTCAACCTTTATTTCTGCTCATCTCTTTCTTTTGCTCACAGGTTGCTGACTACATTCCCCAACTTGCCAAATTCAGCCCAGATCTGTGGGCCGTTTCCCTTTGCACAGTAGATGGACAAAGGTATGAATCCTACACCTTCATCTACTGACAGGAACTACTTATTTTAGCGTGATATTTAGATTTTTTTTAGGTTAATCTACTTTTTTACCATCAAATAATAGTTTCACTGCATTTTTTCTTTGACCTGGAGTTGTTGAAATACGAAAACATTACGATTTTCGTATTTCAACAAGCTTTGATAATCAATTTGGGTATTTATTAACCAAACCACTTGATACACACTATCACTCACCATTCACTATGTACACTTTATGACAAGTACCGGAAATACTTCATATATATTGGTCACAGAACCATCAGATAAAGTGGCTGCTAATCTTATCATTCAATAAATGCTCCAATATTCTCCTGGACTAGTCATCCAGTGCAGAAAAAACATGCTGTTAAGCCTATTATGTTAGAATCATTGATAACAGGACTATAAACTCACAGTCATTAATGATTCCCTCAATACTTAGACCCAGGTGTCATGGTACATCCTTTGATCTCTGATAATAAGGACTTAGATATAGTCTGTATGTTTTACCCCATGCTTTAGAATTTGTTGTAAAGATACATGGGGTACCTGCATAGCTGTGATTGCTATGGCCATTCACCTGTTACACAATAACTTACTTTTAGTCAACAACACTGCCAGAGCCTTGACCTATTGACAGAAATTGATGAAATGACTTCACTTAGTTCTTTTCTGATCTTTACACTAAATGTAACTTGTTTACTAAATGAAATAAATAGAAAACTACAAACAACAACAGCTCATACTCTGAAATGTGTTGTTACATAATAACACATTCACAATTTGACTCTCACAACAACCGCAAAAAAACAAAACAAGACCGATTACATGATCACTGCATATTTAAAAGGCTTTTCCTTATAAAAAAAAACTATAAACACGATGTCAATAAGATATTCATTGCATTGATTTCAAATGAGTGTTGCTTTGTGCACCTCGCGTTATTGACAGCTTCAATGAAAAATATAGCTGCGAGCAGCGATTGCGGGCCCAAGCCGGTGGCACCGCAACCCTGATGCCTTTAGTTACCTAAAGGCACCGGGATGGTGGTACCGCCGGCTTTGGCCCTTTATCGCTGCTCACAGCTATATTTATATTTAATATAAAGCCGGTGGCACCGCCACCTTGGTGCCTTTAGGGTTATTCTGTATGACGTGCAAAAACGTAACCCCCACTTTGACTGTCGAAAAGAAGTGTATTGTAGAGCTTGCATCAATGCGGACTCGATGCGCTGTGCGCTGTAACTCCATGTGGCTTTAAGCGCATCATTCTCCACTCGGGATGCGCATAAGCGTTTTGTGCCACACTGTACTGAGCCTTTCATATCATAATGCAATGACAGATTATTAATTGCCTTTCTTGTTCTGTTCTATCTATTATGTGTTGATAAAAGATAGGACAGAGCACTAAAAACCTCAAACAAAGCACTAAAAACTTAAGCTGTTTGCTGTGTAGTCTGAGAATGAGCTGTTTGATTTGCACCCTCTTCCTCTTCACTGTCCTCCATAAAAACCAGCTATCCAGGTCCAGGTCCATGTTGTTCTAGAAAGTTTGTATGTTGCTGCCTCATTTAACATCTCTGCTATACATTTAAAACATGTTGTCTCAATTTTATAGCAGCCATGGCTCTATCTAAAATAATTTATCTTTTTGATTTTTGTTATCTTGTTTTTCATGAATGTATTTTACAACAATACAAAGAGCAATGTGTATTTACCACTAATATAGTTTGTAATGGCTTTTTTTGTCATAGATTATAATCATATATTTTTTTGGATTTGTTATTTATCTTTATAATGAGGTTGTCTGTATTAAGTAGATTGTGTTTAACACACACAAGAGTGGCACCAAACACAGCTCTAAAAAAACTTGACACAATCCATCATTCAGCCATCCGTTTTGCCACTAATGCACCCTATCACACTCATCACTGCGACCTGTATAAACTGGTGGGTTGGCCCTCCCTTCATACCCGGCGGCTCCATCATTGGTTTCTCTTCATATATAAGACAATTCTGGGCAAGGCACCTCTCTATTTGTCATCCCTATTTCATGCCGCTTATAACACCTATCACACAAGATCAAGTAATTTGATTAAATTTAGTATCCCCCCCTACTTCTACTACCTTTGGACATAATGCCTTCCGCTTTGCATCAGTACACGACTGGAACATACTACAAAATACCCTGAAACTTACATCTCTGATCCCAATCTCCACCTTTAAGCAAAACCTCGAAAATTACATAGTTGACTCTTGTTCCTGCTGACAATCATGAACCATATTTACACACTTATTTAAGCACTCTATTCGTTTTCTTTTTCCTCTTTGTTGTCTTTTTTATTTTTATTTAGCTGCTTGTTCTAAGTGTTATGTGTTTGACTATGTACAGCTGTACATTATGTTCTTATTTTTTCCTGTAGCCTCTTGGCCAGGTCATGTTTGTAAATGAGAAGTGGTTCTCAAACATTTTACCTGGATAAATAAAGGTTAAAAAAAAAAGAAAAAAAAGAGTGATTTATCAGTTCAACACATAGTTATAGAAATTCTACTTTATCTCAAAAAACCTGCACTTTATACACACACACACACACACACACACACACACACACACATACATAAATACATGTAAATAAAAATACAAAAAGAAACATCAAATGTGTTTTTAGTCAGAGTATTATTTTATACAGAAACAAATATTTGTAATTCAGAAAATAATGAAGTTAGTGTTTTAAAATCTGAAGGAAAACAAATATATTGAAATATAGCACAAGAATTTTAAATTCATTCAGCTTCAATTACAAATACAATCTTACTTTTATTTAAAGCAAACTATACATTTAAAAGATGGGGGTTATATGCCTATTTTGTCATTTAAAAAAAATACAAAATTGTTATGCAAAAAGACAAGGACTTATAGGAAAAATCGCAGCCAGCCACAGTGTGTGGTTCAAACATACATAAACACAGACAACAGCCCTCCCCTCCCCCCACACACACACGCACATGCACACACACACACAAACACAGACAACAGCCCTCCCCTCCCCACACAGACACACACACCCACACACACAGAGAGAGAGAGAGAGAGAGAGAGAGAGAGTGAATCGCAGGGGAAATAAATCCATTCAAACTACAATATCTGACTTTCTGTTGCTCAGAGCGAATGACTTTAAATTGGAAAGTTGATCGGCTTGACGAGAACAATATACGTGGAAAGTTTTGTAACTGTAGGTAAAATGAGCAAAGTTATAACACACTTTATGTGTCCTTTTTTAGTCATAAAATTCATTTCCTCGTCACGGCCAGACCGTTCGAGATATCAAAAATCCGTCCGGAATTGAGCATCCTCAATGTCTTGACTTCATGCACACCGAGTTTGGTTGTGATTGGTAAACACATGCGTTGTAATTTGATGTATTTCTCCTAGGAGAATTATTCAAACAACCCATAATTCCCAACTTCCTTCTTAAAACTTAGAGCACGAAAGTTGTTTGGCCTGATGTGATCTTTAATTGTACCGAGTTTCATATTAATTCATGCAAGTGTGTTTGATTTATGGACAAATTTTCGAATCCCAGTCCAGGGGGCGCTGTCGAGCCGCCCTGCCACGCCCGGTTACCAGCTTCAGCCCGGCCCTGATGGCCATGGGTTCTGACCCGTGTGCAAAGTTTCAAGAGTTTTAGAGGATGTTAAGGCCCCCAAAAATGCCAGAGAAGTTGCACACAGCAAATAAAGGGTTAAAATTAACCTGACAGGCGCCCCTCCTCTCACTCACACAGAGGGACACTGAGAGACTGGCAAAATTCTGAGATTTTCTCTACATTCAAACAAACATATCTGACTTTCTGTGGGTCCTAGCTAATGAGTGTCAATTAGAAAGTTGTCCGGCTCGAGGAGTACAATATACATACTGATTTTTGTAACTGTAGATAAAACTAACAACCCCACTTTTGTCAAAAGGTGGCGCTACTGAGCCCTCACCACACCCGTTTCTGAAACGTTGCACATGTCTACTGGCTAATAAATGTGATGTGTCTGTCGAGTTTCATGCAATTTGAAGCATGCTAAGAGTCTCAAAAGCATCCTAAAAGAATGGTAAAGTTTGATGCGTTGCCACGGCAACAGTTTCAAAGATATCAAGAATCCATTCACAGGTCTACATCTGCCGTATGTTTACATTATACAGATGAAGTTTGAAGCAAATCGGGTAAAAATAAAAGGGTGATATCAAAGCATTTTGAAAATGACACACTTCCTGCTACCAGTTGGTGGCGCTATAACTTTGACTCGCAATAGTCACATCCATGTGATCGTCCTCTTACAGCGAACACACTGCTGAAGTTTCATCAAGATCGGTTGATGTGTGCTGAAGTTATGATACACTTCCTGTTTCACGTTTCTCGCCATAATTTTGTTTCCTCGCCACGGCCAAACCGTTCCAGATATCAAAAATCCCCTCGCAAACTTTCATCCTCAATGTCTTGACTTCACGCTGACCGAGGTTCGTCGAATTTGGATCAAAGCTCTAGGAGGAGTATTAAAAATTCCATTGCGAGTGTTTTACGAACAACCCTAAATAGCCGACTTCCTGTTGGGCTGGGGTAAAAAGTAAAAGCGCGAGGTATAGATGAAACGATGAGATCAACATGTGTACCGAGTTTCATATTATTACATGCAAGCGTGTTTGATTTATGGACCAAGTGTTCGGACCCCGTTCCAGGGGGCGCTGTCGAGCCCCCCTGCCACGCCCGGGTACCAGCTTCAGCCCGGCTCTGATGGCCGCGGGTTCTGACCCGTGTGCAAAGTTTCAAGAGTTTTCGAGCATGTTAAGGGCCCCAAAAGTGCCCGAATAGTCGTTAGAAAAATAAAAGAAAAAAAAAAAAAATAAAATAATCGGAAGGAAAACAATAGGGCCTTCGCCCTTTCAGGGCTTGGGCCCTAATAATGGCAGAGGTCTTTGCTCACTTTCTGTATATAAAATTTCTAACTACACATTGCAAAGTTTCTGGTTTAAGAACCATATTTGAATGCGTGATTGAATCCGATTGACAGTGATGACCATTGCAATGGACAGAACAAAACAATCTGATACTGTATCTCAAATGCATTGGCGTGTAAATACAAAATAATAGACCTGCCACTTCTTCTTTGTTCATTTTATTACTACTGTAACGTTTCAAATCATTCACTCAGGGGCTTTTTAAATATACATTTACAGATTTTTTTTTTTGATATAATATTATTCTAAGCACTTTGTTTTATGATCTGTCCTGACTCCTGACAGTGATTATTTTTTATTTCATGAATAAATAGGATAAGTTTGCATGCGTACACTGTAAAAATTAATGCGCTTTAAAAAATAAAAAAAAATGTGGCAACAGATTACAAGCAATATTATTAATTCAATTTAACAATAGAATTGAGTAATAATTAATCAAATTAGTTCCTCTAAACTTTACCATTTAAAATGTGTAAAACATACATTAAGTCACCATTATGGTGATCAGTGTTTGTTTTAGGTTTGTTTTAAAATCACGGTTTTCTCCTTCAGTGATTCTGCTTGTTAACATCAGGTGTCTTCAATGTTGGCAATTTAAAATAAAGAGTTCTTAATTAATCTTTGACGTCTGTCTGTTAGTGAGATATTTTTGTTAATTTTTTTGGTGTAAACTTGACTCATTTTAAGTGGTTAACTTTTAAGGAATAATTTGATTAATTCTATTATTTGTTCAATTTAATTAATAATATTGCTTGTAATCTGTTGCCAGAATTTTATTGATTAGATAAAGCATATTCATTTTTACAGTGTAGGGTACTTTGTGTGTGGATGACCGTGTTCGTTCACCACCAAAGACCATTTTTGACCCTTGAAAAAAAGCCTGATTGACACCATTTTAGAATAATACATTTAAAAAATAATGTTTTCTCATTGTATTAAAATAGAGTAAAAAGAGCTGTTTGTTTGCTTATGTGGACAAGGATGATATCTTTGGTTCTGATCTCTGTTTACTCCTTTACACAGACACACAGTGGGTGACACTAAAGTGCCATTTTGCCTCCAGTCGTGCGTGAAGCCGCTCAAGTACGCTATTGCCGTGCACGACCACGGCACTGAATATGTGCACCGGTTCATTGGGAAAGAACCCAGTGGCTTACGCTTCAACAAGCTCTTCCTGGATGAGGACGGTAAGAATTATAACCATCAGCTTACGCATGACTGCTTGCTTCTATAATCAGGGAACATCGTCTGCATGTGTCTTACATTTTAAACACTTAACCCTAAGGAATATAAGAAATGTTATTTTCCCACAGATAAACCCCATAACCCAATGGTGAATGCTGGTGCAATCGTGTGTACCTCTCTTATTAAGGTAAGCATCTTCCACTTGTTTTTTTATTTCATTTTCATGTTAGTAATTGTTTTTGATTACTTCTCCTAACTAACTGTACTCACATTTACTTAATTTGATTTAGCCTGAACAGACTATTTGGTATTGGCCGAATGTTGTTGATAAAGGTTACGTGTGCAGTAATGATATTTAGAGGTTTTGGTTGTAGACTGTATGAATAATTGATTGTGAGGAATGCTGCCTAGACTTAGACCAACTGATCAACAGTGTGTGTTTTAGGTGCTGCTTGTCTTTTCTGTGTTTTAATTACTGTACACAGCACACCTACTCAAGGCCTCCTCGTTCATTTCAACTACAATATGTGGAGATCATCCTGTTTTCAGGACCATTATTACTAGAAGTCTGTTTGCAATGAATTTCAAGTAAAATTCATCCAGACTTTCTATTCTCCACATTTTTTACACCCTCTCTTGTCACTTGGGCTGGGCGATATAACTAAAATAATCTATAACCTTTTAAATATATTGTATTTCTAAGTTTAGTTTTATGTAAATTAGCATTTTTTTGAATGTTGCAGAAAAAGGCCCCCACGAGTGATTATGTATAAAAAATGTTCTAATTTATTATATATTTTGTTCAATTATTTTTTTCTGAAATAAAAAAAAAGCTGTGGGATCTTTTTTAGTAGTTCTTTCAAGAAAAAAAATGACTATATTTTATATTTTCTATTAGGGCTGTCAAAATTAACACATTCATTTAGCTGTTTTTTATTTTATTTAAAGTAAATATTGATAGTTATATGATCCATTCAAATACTTTTAAACCATTCAAGCTTGATAAGACAGTGCAGTGATTTTTTACATTTAATTACTTTATTTTATTTCTGTATATTTCCTTTCTGAATATTACTGTTAGACCTACAAAAAAAGCACTGTTTACATACAATACTGTAGGTCAAAAACAATGAAAACATCTTTTTTTTTTTTTTGTGGCTTGGCCAGAGAAAAAAAATTAACCAGTCTGACTGAGCCAGTGTAAAAAAATCCTTAGTGTTGAACCTTGTTATATTAAATGCACAGCCGATTTTTTATAGGCTTACTGTATGTGAAGATTAAAGAAAATGAAAAATGAAAATTTTCAAAAATGAAAATTAAGTCATTAATTACTCACCCCCATGCTGTACCAACCCCGTAAGACCTTCGTTCGTCTTCGGAACACAAATGAAGATATTTTTGATTAAATTTGAGAGCTGTATAACTACCACATTGGCTCCTAAGGGACTGCCTCTTGACGGCCCAGAAAGTCAATGAAGAAAATGTTTAAATATCCCAAGTGACTACCGTGGCTCAACTATATGTTTATCAAGCGACGCGAATACTTTTTGTGCGAAAAAACAAACAAAAATAACGAGTTTATTCGACTATTTCTTTTCTTCCTTGTAGGCCAGAACGAGACTTCCTTATAGATTTCCACGACGCATGCGCGAGAATTGCGATCTGAAGTAGTGAAGGCTGGTGTGAGCAGATCGCAAATCTCGCGCATGCGTCGTGGAAATCTAAGGAAATCTCGTTTCTGGCCTACAAGGAAGAAAAGAAATAGTCGAATAAACTCGTTATTTTTGTTTGTTTTTTCGCACAAAAAGTATTCGCGTCGCTTGATAAACATATAGTTGAGCCACGGTAGTCACTTGGGATATTTAAACATTTTCTTCATTGACTTTCTGGGCCGTCAAGAGGCAGTCCCTTAGGAGCCAATGTGGTAGTTATACAGCTCTCAAATTTAATCAAAAATATCTTCATTTGTGTTCCGAAGACGAACGAAGGTCTTACGGGTTGGTACAGCATGGGGGTGAGTAATTAATGACTTAATTTTCATTTTTGAGTGAACTAACCCTTTAATAAGGGGCTTTCGGGTAGTTCTAGCAACTAGCAACCAGGGATGCTTTTCCCGTACAACGACGTAGTTCGCTGCTTCACTACCATAGTTCGATGCATCGTTGGAAAAATCAAGTAGCTAGTCACGACTGTTTCCCGAAAAATTACAGACATGTCATCTGAGGACTATGTCTAATTGTTCTCAGTTGTTTTGCTTTATTACCAGACTCAATATTTGGCTCGTTCGTACATAGTAGAGCGCGTTCGCACATGCGCACTCTTCAAACACGTTACTTCAAATCTTTTGAAAAAATAAAATACGTAAATTACATTTGTATGTATTATAAATAAAAGACACCGGTTGTACTGAATGTCAGCTTGCTTATTTTGCTCAAGATAAGGATTTATTACGTCCAAATGTCATGCAATATAGAAACGATGCCTCTAACCACAGGTCGAGAGCTGTCGTTCAAACCACACAACTTTGCGATGCTGTTTGCGAATGTCCGTTGGAACGATGGTTTCGGGAAACACCGACTCATTAAACTATGCAGATAGCGACAGAACTTGCGACCATAGTTGGCTAACGATGCTTTCGGGAAACGCACCCCAGGGTGGTTCCCCGAGAACGAATTGTTCCCCTAGGAACATTTTCCTGGTTTCAGTAAGAACTTTGAAGTTATGTTAGCCACGCTTGTTTTCTCCTTAGTGTAAATGTTATGAGGCTCATCTATCACTGTTTTCCATGTTCGTAGGGTTAATTTTTGGAGTTAACATATAGGCTATAATCTGTGTGTTTACACAACTTTTTTAAAAATGGCGGGTGCTGGTGTTTCGCGTGCGTTCGCCCAATCAGCGTATACTAACACCACTGGTAGTTCCTATAGTGCTGGTTTAGGCTATGTTTACACGGAAACGATTCTGAAGAGAAACCGCAAAAGTGACGTTGCGTCATCACTTTTTATTCTGCGTTTAGACGAGCGTTTTGTGTGGGAAATCCGCGTGCATATGATGATGCAAAAGTGTGTGAAATTCAATGTAGTTTGCACTTCAGGCGGCTAGGAGTGCATACTACAACAACACCAAGTCCACGCACCTGCGTGCAACCTTCACTGTCGAGCAGACTTTTGCGTTTTTACCGTTTACACGGGAATACGGCGGTGGAGCGTTTTTGAGGCTATGTTTACACGGAAACGATTCTGAAGAGAAAACGCAGAAGTGGCATTGCGTCATCACTTTTTATTCTGCGTTTAGACGAGCGTTTTGTGTGTGAAATCCGCGTGCAAATGGTGACGCAAAAGTGTGAAATTCAATGTAGTATGCACTTCAGGCGGCTAGGAGTGCATACTACAACAACACCAAGTCAACGCACCTGCGTACAACTTTCACCGTCAAGCAGACTTTTGCGTTTTTACCGTTTACACGGGAACGCGGCGGTGGAGCGTTTTTAAGATTTCCACTCTGGAGGGTGGTTTCACTTTTTTGCGTTTTTAAGCCTCAAAAACGCCGTCGCCATGTAAACGAAAGGCACATCCGATAAAATATTTTACGTTTTCACCCGCGAGCGTTCTCGTGTAAACAGGGCCTTAGACCCTACCCTAAAGTAGAAGATAAATTAGTTTTTCCAAAAGGAGTCGTTCCTAGTTCCTGCAGTGCGAACACGTCAAAAAACAGGTACTTCAACCAGTAGTTCCAGGAAGGTTACATAGGTATGTTAAAGGATTAGTTCACCCAAAAATGAAAATTAAGTCATTAATTACTCACCCCCATGCTGTACCAACCCCGTAAGACCTTCGTTCGTCTTCGGAACACAAATGAAGATATTTTTGATTAAATTTGAGAGCTGTATAACTACCACATTGGCTCCTAAGGGACTGCCTCTTGACGGCCCAGAAAGTCAATGAAGAAAATGTTTAAATATCCCAAGTGACTACCGTGGCTCAACTATATGTTTATCAAGCGACGCGAATACTTTTTGTGCGAAAAAACAAACAAAAATAACGAGTTTATTCGACTATTTCTTTTCTTCCTTGTAGGCCAGAACGAGACTTCCTTATAGATTTCCACGACGCATGCGCGAGAATTGCGATCTGAAGTAGTGAAGGCTGGTGTGAGCAGATCGCAAATCTCGCGCATGCGTCGTGGAAATCTAAGGAAATCTCGTTTCTGGCCTACAAGGAAGAAAAGAAATAGTCGAATAAACTCGTTATTTTTGTTTGTTTTTTCGCACAAAAAGTATTCGCGTCGCTTGATAAACATATAGTTGAGCCACGGTAGTCACTTGGGATATTTAAACATTTTCTTCATTGACTTTCTGGGCCGTCAAGAGGCAGTCCCTTAGGAGCCAATGTGGTAGTTATACAGCTCTCAAATTTAATCAAAAATATCTTCATTTGTGTTCCGAAGACGAACGAAGGTCTTACGGGGTTGGTACAGCATGGGGGTGAGTAATTAATGACTTAATTTTCATTTTTGAGTGAACTAACCCTTTAATAAGGGGCTTTCGGGTAGTTCTAGCAACTAGCAACCAGGGATGCTTTTCCCGTACAACGACGTAGTTCGCTGCTTCACTACCATAGTTCGATGCATCGTTGGAAAAATCAAGTAGCTAGTCACGACTGTTTCCCGAAAAATTACAGACATGTCATCTGAGGACTATGTCTAATTGTTCTCAGTTGTTTTGCTTTATTACCAGACTCAATATTTGGCTCGTTCGTACATAGTAGAGCGCGTTCGCACATGCGCACTCTTCAAACACGTTACTTCAAATCTTTTGAAAAAATAAAATACGTAAATTACATTTGTATGTATTATAAATAAAAGACACCGGTTGTACTGAATGTCAGCTTGCTTATTTTGCTCAAGATAAGGATTTATTACGTCCAAATGTCATGCAATATAGAAACGATGCCTCTAACCACAGGTCGAGAGCTGTCGTTCAAACCACACAACTTTGCGATGCTGTTTGCGAATGTCCGTTGGAACGATGGTTTCGGGAAACACCGACTCATTAAACTATGCAGATAGCGACAGAACTTGCGACCATAGTTGGCTAACGATGCTTTCGGGAAACGCACCCCAGGGTGGTTCCCCGAGAACGAATTGTTCCCCTAGGAACATTTTCCTGGTTTCAGTAAGAACTTTGAA